TTTAGAGAGAGTCTCACTCTGTCACCCTTGGTAGAATGCTGTAGCATCACATCTCACAGCAACCTCCAGTTCTTGGGCTTAGGCTATTCTCTTGCCTCAGCCTCCCAAGTAACTGGGACTACAGGCTCCTGCCCCAACACCTGGCTATTTTTTTTGTTGCAGTTTGACTGGGGCCAAGTTTGAACCTACCACCCTCAGTATATGGGGCCAGCGCCCTACTCACTGAGCCACAAGTGCTGCCCTGAATCCCCAAATTCTTAAGTAATGATATTTTATGTTTAGTGAATATAATACTTTTAATTTTTTTTCTTTTTTACTTATTAAAAGAGAAAAAAATGACTATTGACTTTTGGGGATGCATATAGTTCCATGAATTTTTAACACATGTATACATTTGTATGACCATCACTTCAGTTAAGGTATAGAATGGTTCTATCACTTCATAAATCTGCCTCTTCACATTCTTAAGTGTCACAAACCACCATAACTAGTCTTGATAGTGGGACTACATTGTCCTCCCATCTCAAACTTGTAGCAAAAAATTGGCTAATTTATTATTCAACAAGTCTTCAATCCACCATCCTTACTAATGTATTTAAGTTTTTTCTACTTGCTAATTTTGCATTTTGTTGACTTACAATCATAATTAGAGATACGATTCATTTGTCCTCTCTATCAAATATCAACTAATCCAATCCTAATCTCTAACTCAAGGGATTTCTTAGATGATGTGTCAGTGGATCTGTTCTCGTTTGTGGTACATCTGTTTATAAGTCATGCTTTTTACATCATGTGCATTTGTTACATCAACTGCCAGTTGTCTGATGTTAATACTGGAGATTATTATCTGAAGTACACCAGAGAATCACTGCTGTGTTGTTTTTTATAGGCTCCCCAGACAAAGGTGTTTCTTTTTCTGAGCGTTTTAATGGCTATGTGCTGTACTTTTTGTGTTTGCATCCTTTTGTCTCTATTTCTCTGAATATGCATGATGCATATAAGTCACAAAGGGGAAATTTACGGAATCTAAGTCAAAACTGCATCAATATTTAAACAAAGGTTGCTTATTAACCAATGTGTTTTAGGCATTTAAGTGTACAACTGTGACAAGCATGTTCAGAGAATGAATTTTAATCTATAATACGTGAAAGTTAATAAATCATTTTAAAACAAAGATCTGATATTTTATATGCTGTTGAGAAGAGCCTTTGTTTATAACTTTTGTTTATGACAGATCAAAAATTAAGAAACTTAACTATATCTGTAATAATTGTCTTTAAGATCGTTTGAGACCATCTTAAGTATTATTAGCTCATAGAGGGAAAAGACTAGCAAGTTAATTTTTTTATCTGATCTGACTAACAAGTTAATTTTATCTTTGATCTGAAGTTTTCTTATTTTATGATTCTTTTAAGGCTTTTTAAGGCTTCTTTTATAAAAAGAAGATTTCTTGGGATCTGGTGATTCTCCTGTGGACTTTTTGTGTTATGATTTCAAATCAGTTTTTTATTTCTAACTTCTGGAGACATATTTCTATTGAGTGAGATTCTTCATTATCCTCATTAAGGAATTAATGTCATTAAGGAATAACACAGCTACTTTTATTTGCTTACTCTATTATCTACCCTTTGCAGTTGTAAATTGACTATTTTATCATTTGCTCTTCAGATGGATCCTGTGCAAAAAGCAGTCATTAACCACACATTTGGAGTGTCCATCCCCCCAAAAAAGAAACAAGTTATTTCTTGTAATGTCTGCCAGCTTCGCTTTAACTCGGATGTGAGTACCACTTTTTTATTGTTCTCTGTACTTTGTCAAGCTGAAATCTGGTCTGAATACGTACAGACATCTGTACGTGTCTGAGATGTACAGTCCGTCTCCTCACGCTTACATGAGCTCTAGCAGCCACTCCTAGTGGTCGCCCCACTTCTTTCAGTGTACCAGTTTTCCAAGGAATTTGGGCTCAATATTTAAAACTTAAACAATAGAGTATACTCAGACCGCCAAATCCATGGCTTCCACATGCACAGATTCCAAACCCATAGATTCAACCAACCTGAGATTGAAATATTTGGGGAAAATGTTAAATAACAATACAACAGTAAAAAATAATAAAAAATTTAAAAAACAATAAAAGGTAAAAGACAGTAAATGGTTAATATAAAAAATTAATCCCTCACACAGTGGTCATGACTATAATCCCGGCAATGGAGGGGCCAAGCCAGGAGGATCATTTGAGGACAGCTGGACAACATAGAAAGACCCCATGTCTACAAATAAATTTTTTAAATTAGCCAGATGTGGAGCCACGTGCCTGTGGTCCCACCTACTTGGGAGGCTGAAGCAAGAGGATCACTTGAGCCCAGGAGTTTGAGGCTACAGTGAGCTATGATTGCACTACTGCACTCCAGCTCAGAAGACAGAATGAGACCCTGTCTCTAAAAAAAGAAAAAACACAAGTATAGTCTAACAAAGAGAAGGGGAGAGGAAGGAGGGTGAGTGGTGGGATCTTACCTACTGTACACAGTGTGAAGATGTTCAGCATGCCCCCTGGATGAAGGGCTCAGCTACAACTTGAACTTTACCTTAGAAATGAAAATAGTGTGACCTAAACATTTGTGCCCTCATATTAATCTAAAATTTAAAAAATAAGAAAATAAGAATTCCTCTATGAAAGTAATCAAGGTCCCCTATACCATTTTATACTTAATTTCACCAATTATATTTACTTTTCAAAAATACTTGAATAGCAGAAAATAAGAAAAATGTTTTTAAAATAAAGTGGAATTAACAGTGCCTGTTGCTCAGTGGGTAGGACTCTGGCCACATACACCAAAACTGGCAGGTTTGAAACTGGCCTGGGCCAGCTAAAACAACAATGACAACTGCCATAACAACAAAAAAATAGCTGGGTGTTTTGGTGGGTGCCTACAGTGCCAGCTACGTGGGAGGCTGAGGCAAGAGAATCACTTAAACCCAAGAGTTTGAGGTTGCTGTGAGCTATAGCACCATGGCACTCTACCCAGGGTGACAGCTTGAGACTCTGTATCAAAAAAAATAAATAAATAAATAAAGTAAAATTAGGCCCCGCACAGTGGCTCATGACTGTAATCTTAGAACTCCAGGAGGCTCAGGTAGATGGATTCCTTGAGCTTAGGAGCTTGAACCAGCCTGAGCCAGAATGAGACTCCATCTCTAAAAATAGTTAGGTGTTATGGCAGGAGGCTGAGGCAAGAGAATAGCTTGAACCCAAGAGATTGAGCCTTCTGTGAGCTATGACATTAAGGCACTCTACCCAGGGTGACAAAGTGAGACTCTGTCCCATAAATAAATAAATAAATGTGAAATTATTACAAAAAAAAACTAAAATGCAATGGATGCTGAAGAAAAACCATTGTTATTACTCTTGTTACCAAGTGTCACATTTTCCATGGATGCCAGATCTTGCTAAATACCTGAGAGAATAATTAATTGACTATGTGATTTATATTTTGCCAGAACATGAACATACAGGGAAAGCTTCATAAATTACTTTATCTGGGTAGCATAAGCATCCTGCTAAAAAAAGATAAGGAGGAAAGGGAATAAATCAATCTCTTTCATGAAAGCAGATTTTAACAGTATAAATAAAATAACAGGAAAGCAAAATAAATAATATGAGAATGTTTGTAATACTAAAAAAAATAAAAAGTTTGCAATACTCAATTACCAATTAAAGCCAATGGCTGATGTCCTGAATTACTTGGCCCTAGAAGTCATTTTGCAAGAGTATGTTAAGGATTAATGGGTTTTGAAAATGCAGTAGACCCTTTATAAATTGACCACCCAAGGGACTGTAACAATCTGGTCAGGAGACAGAGGTGGTCAACATAAGGAACTAGCTCTACTGCAGTGACAGATACATGTGGTGCATGTCTGGTCTATGAAAATTAGGCAAATTTTAAAAGGTGGCCAATATAGGGACGTGGTCAACTATGAGGTTCTATTGTGTTAAAATACTGTTTGTATATAGCATTAGATAATGTTTTGCTAATTCTATCATAGAACCATAGTAAAAATTATGGTCATTGGAAGAGAGGAAATATGTTTATATGATTTATAAAATTATATTTAATGTGATTTCAAACAAAAGTTTAATAAAATTTGTTTGGTACCTGATGAAACTTCATGTATAAGAATCAAAATGTACCTAAGTAAATTGAGAAATGTACAGTGTTAATTCAAAGTCTCAATATTGTTAAGATGTCAATCTCCCCAAATTACTCTATAGATCCAGCACAATCCTGATCAAATTCAAAAAGCTATTTTTCTGTAGAAAATGACAAGCTGGTTTTCCTTCCTTCCTTCCTTCCTTTCTTTCTCCCTTCCATCCTTCCTTCCTTCCTTTGTTTTTTGAGGCAGAGTCCCACTTTATCACCTAGGTAGAGTGCCATGGCATCTTCAGAGCTCACAGCAGCCTCTAACTTCTGGGCTCAAGTGATCTTGCCTCCTGAGTAGCTGGGACTACAGGCACATACCACAATGCCCAACTAGTTTTTCTATTTTTAGTAGAGATGGGGTCTTGGTCTTGCTCAGGCTGCTCTGGAACTTTAAGCTCAAGCAACCCACCTTCCTTAGCCTCCCAGAGTGCTAGAATTATAGGGGTAAGCCACTGTGCCTGGCCTACAAGCTGTTTCTTAAATATGCAAAGAAAACCCCTAGAATAGACAAAACATTTTTTAAGTACAAATTTAGAAGACTTACACTTCCTGATTTCAATACTTACTATGAAACCTATAGAAATAGACTATGAAAATGGTGAAAGAATAGTAGACACACTGATCAATGGAACAGAATGGAATACAGAAATAGGCCCAGGACCTATAGAGTCAGTTAATTTTTAACAAAGTTGAGGAGGCAATTCAATGGAGAAAGGATAATCTTTCTAACAGACAGTGCTAGAACAATTACATATGTAAATGAACAATTATGAATCCCTTGAATTGAAAAATATATATTTGCATGCTTTGAAATCATAGTAGTTTTTTAAAATATATTTAAAAATCTATCCCATTCCACCATCTTCCCACCCTCCATGCCATTCCCCATTGGTACCACTTTAATATTTTTGCATACATAGTATCTTTCCAGGATTTGTTTATGCAGATATAACCTAATATATATACTATTTTCTCCCTTTTCTACTATTTACACTTTTCTTTACATTTGTTTTTCCTTTTTTTTTGCAGTTTTTCGCTGGGGCTGGGTTTAAACCCGCCACCTCCAGCATATGGGGCCAGCGCCCTACTCCTTTGAGCCACAGGTGCTACTCTGTCTTATATTTTATATATCACAAGATATCCTGGAGAATTTTTCCTATCAGAACATAGAAAGATTCTTTATTCCATTTTTTGTTTTTTCTTTTTGTTTCCTGAGACTCAGTCTTGCTCTGTTGTTGGGTTTGGAATGCAGTGGCATCATCATAACTCACTGCAACCTCCAATTTCTGGGTTCAAGTGTTCCTCTTCTCTCAGCCTCCCAAGTAGTTGGACTTATAGGCACCTGATAATTTGCTATGAAAGCAGTCAAAAACTAATACTGTAGTCTACGTGTCGTGGACATTCCATAGTTTAGGCAATTAATCCCTTATAGGTGATCTACTGTATGGCAAGTACTTTGCTAGTCTCCAGAGTCCAGCAGCAACTTTTTTCTAGCCAACATTATGAATAAAAATATTTAAGAGGCCAAGGATGGTGGCTCATACCTATAATCTTAGCACTCTGGGAGAACAAGGCAAGAGGACAACTTGAGGTCAGGAGTTTGAGAGCAGCCTAAGAGCAGGACCCTGTCTCTACTAAAACCAAAAAAAAAAAATTAACCAGGTGTAGTGCTGTGCAATTGTGGTTCTAGCTATTTGGGAGGCTGAGGCAAGTGTCTGAGACAGGAGAATTCCTTGAGCTCAGGACTTTGAGGTTTCACTGAGCTATGACGATGCCGTTCCACTCTAGCCTGGGCAACACAGGAAAACGCTATTATTAAAAACCTCTCTTAGGGTAATATAAACACCTCTATCTAGTAAATAGAATAGCTAAGACCCAGAAAGAATGAATATAAATTTTGTTTCTTATTTGCATCATGGCTTGGATGGGGGGGAGATTTTTCTTTCTACCCAAGAATTGTTCTTGGAGTAGGTCTCAACTTTGACTTGACTACAATTCTATGATTGCCATTTTCTTTGTATTTACCAATAGGACATGGACAAATGCGCACACATAAGCATATGGCCACCAACTTTCCTGTCACTGCTCAAAAACTCTGTTGATAATAAAAAAAAGACCTTAAATTTATGAGCCATTCTTAGACTCTGGGCAGTAAAGCCCCAAAGTCTGGATGGCAAATGCACAAATGTGACGTATACACGTTCTCAGTGTTTAGTAATGGTTCTATAATCTGCATAACTAAGCTCTGAAACTGAGCATTTTTTATTTGGGGGAGAGTTTATTATTTTATAATTACCCTATTTACATTTTAATGTAAGAATTAAGAAGATGCTCATCCTTATATTTTTAATAACATTTCTAAATCAGCCTGAGACGGAATTGGCTTCACTCTTTCAGTATAGAAAATATGTTTATTGAAAAATCTGGAAAGGCAGATTTGCACAGTAAATAGACTGCATTTTGCAGTTCTTCATTACCCATATAAAATGTACCAGGGTAGGCCTCATGCATTAAAATTCGATGTGACCTACTTTAAGTGCTCTGTAGCCCCCCCTTGTCCAGCTTTTATCGTCTCTGTAG